TGTATGTGCAAGTGTGTGTGTGTGTGTGTGTGTGTGTGTGTGTACGTGTGTGTGCATATCAAAAGACAGCTTCAGTGTTCTTCAGATGCCATCCATCTTTAGTTTTTTGAAACAGTGTCTCTCACTGGCCTGGAACTCAGCGAGTAGGGTTGTATGGGTGGTCAGTGAACCCCATGGAACCTCCTGACTTTTCCTTTTTTTTTAAAGTGTGAGTTATGTGGGAATTGAACTCAGATCCTCATGGATGCAAAACAAACACTGTACCAATTGAGCTATCTTCCCAGGTCTATAGATTCTTCTACGTTGATGCTGTATACTAATACTTTGCTGAATATGTTTATCAGAGCTAGGAGTTTTCTTGTGGAACCTTTGGGGTCTTCCAAGTATGAGATAACATGGGCTGAAAATAGTGATTTTTAAAAATTATTTTTACCTATTTTACCATTCATATTCCTTTTTAGTCTTTATTTTAGTTTATTGTTTTATCTAAAACTCTAAGCACTATATTGAATAATAGTAAAGAGAGTGAACATTTTGGTGTGTTTTTTCTCATTTTTAGTATGTTGTTGACTCTATATTTGACATAGAGAGCCTATGTTATGTTGGGGATTGTTCATTCTGTTACTAGCTTGGATCCTGGGCTGGATGAAAGAAGAGAAAGTGATCTGGGAAGTTGACTCTCTGCTGCTGACTGTGAATGTGTCTGGCTTCTTCAAGCGACTGACTTCCTTGCATAATGAACTATATATACAAGCTGGGAATGTAAGCCTTAAAAAAACTAACCTTTATTTATTAAAGTGATTTTTGTCACACACAGCCATAAAAACTTGACAAAAAACTGATTAGAATCAGGAGTTTTCTGTTTTGCTTTGTTTTAGGTTTTGAGGTGTGTGTGTGTGTGTGTGTGTGTGTGTGTGTGTGTGTGTGTGTGACTGATTTCTCCCTAGTTCTCCTTTGCTCATCTAGCAGTCTTATGAGTTCTTCTTTCATGTGGCTGCTGACTTTTCATACAATTCGATGGCCTTTTCTCTGCTGCTTCTGTCCCTTTGCAGTCCTTGATTGAGTTCATTTGCTTTGTCTGTAGTTGTTTTGTGGTCATTTATCATTTTTATTTGCTAGTAAAATGTTGATAGCATCAGCATTTTACCTACCTCACTTTCTTTGAATTCAGTAATTAAGGAAGTATGATCTTTTAGAAGAGTTGCATTGTCTTGATTTTTAGTTTTTCTTGTGTTTTAATTTTGTGATTTTTGCATTTGTTGGTTTAGATGTCTCTTCTCGTTATATTTTTGTCTTGTATTATTGAGCAGTTTTCTTGACTCCTCTGCTCCCAGTACAGCTCGTTGAGGAGAACACACTTTGGACAAGGTGTGTTCAATATAACATAAAATACAGATTCAGTCCCTAGAACGTAGGATGAAAAAAATATGAGATCTAAACTATCTAAGTAATGAAGGTATGGCCATCTCTCCACAGCCCTCTCCATGGCATCTCCACAGCCCCCATATGGTTATTTTGACTATCTGAAGTCATTTATAGTTCTGTATAAACTTCAGTATCTTTTAAAAATTCTATGAAAGGGGAAAATATGTAGGAATTTTTTGGGAATTGCATTGATTTTTTTTGCATATTCCTGGAATCCTAGCACTGGGAAGTGGGAAACATTAGCTCCCTGGGGGTTGATGACCAGCCAGTCTAAATAATCCATGAGTTAAAAGTTCAGTGAGAGCCGGGCAGTGGTGGTGCACACCTTTACTCCCAGCACTCAGGAGGCAGAGGCAGGCAGATCTTTGTGAGTTTGAGGCCAGCCTTGTCTACAGGAGCTAGTTCCAGGACAGGCTCCAAAGCTACAGAGAAACCCTGTCTCGAACCCCCCCCCCCCCCAAAAAAAAAGGTTCACTGAGAGCTCGGCCTCAAGGAATAAGAAGGAAAGAACTATAGGAAGACACCTGAGAGGAGCCTTTGGTCGCCATGTGCTTGAACATGCATCCACGTGTGTTGCTACAACCCCCACATGCTTGTCATCACCAAAAATCAAGGAATGCAAATAAGAATCACTACGACGCTGGGTCTGGTGGGAAATGCTTGCATCCCAGTTACTCAAAGGCTATGCCAAGAATATTGCTTTAGTACAGGACTTCAAAGTCAGCCTAGGCACATGAGCAGACTCCATCTAAAAGGAATATAATAAACAAAGCATGCCGAGACATCACCTTTTCCTTATTTATATACCTGCATTTTTTTTAAAAGTGGTGATGAGAATGTAAGGAAGTGGGCCTTTTCACACACCATTAATGGAGACTCAGGTAACTGTAGCCACAGTGGAAACACTTTGCAGATACCTAAATACAGCTAAAAATAGAATCAACACATACTGCAGAAGTCCCACGACTCCATATCTACAGGAAGGGGAATGAGTGTACCAATGAGATGCCTACAGACATTTTTATTGCAATATTGTTCACAGTATCCAGGGTATAGAATCAGCCAAGTTGCCAGTGGATGAATTGACAAGGAAAATGTGCCATGTATACACAGAGAATATTATTAAGCCACATAGGAGTAAAATTCTGTCACTTGCAGCCACACAGATGGAATGGAAGATCATTGTGTTAAGTGAGAGGATCCAGATACACGAAGACAATCATCACCTTCTCAGTCCTGTGTGGGTACCACAAAGCCAACTGAAGATCAGAGAGCAATAGCGGTCACTGGAAACTAGAAAGGGAAGACGGGTGGGGCGAGGAATATAGTGGTTTTCTGATATAGCAGATAACTATTGTCTACAACTATCACTTCCACGAGGGTCAGCCTCCAGCAGCTCAGGGTTTGAAAGGGACCTACAGAGCTGGTGGGCTATCACTCAACTGGACTTTTCTAGCTGAGAGAGTAAAACTTAATTCTCTGGGGCCATGATGGGGGCTAAATAACTCTCTGGGGCTAGAAAAAAAAGAAAAGACACACACACACACACACTGTTTTTTATTTCTTTTCTTACCTCTTTTTAAATGTATCCCTTCTCTATCCCTTGTTTTCCTTCTAACTTTTCTTCTGCATCTTTCCTGGTGGTTTCCTTCTCTCAGGTCTTTTTTACCCATACAGCCTATCTACCCCAGCAGAATCTTTCAAGCAATATAAAAATTACAATGTGGTGGCATTCTATTTTTAAGTGAATGATTGCAATGAATACAAGTAAAAAACAGTATGTTTTCCAAATTCCTTACATGGTTAAACATTTTATGTACTACAAGTGAAAAGCAAATTGTTCCAAGAACCCACATATATTCGTATTCAAGCAACTTATTATAGATTAACAGAGTGTAAGCAAGCAAGGTATTTTTCTCAGCCAGTTCCTTTACTGGCAGACTGCATTTCTGTGGTTACAAAGAAAGGATCATCCACCTTACTACTTATCTCAAAAGGCAATCTTATAAGGAACCTTAAAAGAATCTCAAATGTAAACTTTTATATATGAAAAACAATCAGTCAGCTCTACTGTAAATCCCCAGGGTGTATACCCACTCATCAACAACTTTTTATATCAGGAGGCTGAGGACAGAAATGGGTACAAGGAATGAATCATCATCTTTGATCACCAACCCATCCTAGTAAGAACGGCACATCAGCTAACAATAACTGGGCTGCTCTGTTCTTGTTCCTTGACCTCAACGAGTCCCTCACTCAACTATGTGCCTTTCTAAAACTTCAGATTATTTCCTTGGGTTTTTCACCTCAAAGTTATTAACAAAAACATCTTAATCTAACCTTAAGTCATTTTTGAAAGCTTTGTTTCAGCTATGATACACACCAAAACCTGTGAACACATTTCCCAATATTGAGATGAGAAGAACTTGAGTTAGCCTAGCTTTTGAACACAATTGTTTTTCTTAATCATTAACAAAAGCCACAATTTATATGGCTTCTCAAGAGAAACTAGTGTGTGACATTTTCTTGTTCTTATTTTCTGTCTTCTGCAGTCCCTACTTTATAAGGGGTGGGGCAGGGGCAAAACTTTAAACAGTACAGTTTAAGAGGAAACTGTCTTTATAATAATCTACAGGTAAAAACGCCCAGTAGAATGGGATGTTTTCAAGAGAGAATCACAGTACATTAAGGTCAGTGGGATCTCCCCACACCCATTCACACTATGCCACACATCAGAAAAATGGCAGCTGCAAACGTGCAAAGACACAGAGGTAGCAAGAGACATTCTGAGGCAGAGGCTCTTGGGTTCTTGCCTATCCGAGATTCACCCTTCACAGCTTTTGCTTCCTGGTGGGCCGGCTTCCTGAAGTCAATAGCCACCTGCTACTCCTCTGACATGGCCACTCGCATGTGGAGATTCTCTTCATCTTCCGTCGTGGAAATTTATGGACTTTGATGCCTCAAAGTTACTATGTTTGGTAACGCCTCTTTAACCGTGTTTCCTTTGGTTGCTTTCATTTTGGTGACACGGGTAAGACGTCATCAACATTTGCAACTATAGCTTCTTCTAAGTTTATATAGTTTTAGCTTTTATAGTAAAATTTTGATCTCCTTGAGTTAAGTTTTGTACTTGTGTGGTGAAGAGATTTAATGCTAAGCTTCTTTATGTGGCTTTTCGGTTGTCCCAACAGACATTACTGAAAAGGCTCTTTTTCTTTCGTTCATGGTCTTGACATCTATTTAACAACAAATAATAAATGTATTTCTGCTCTCATTTCTACCGCAGTTATACCTATTTATTTTTAAGAGAGATATGTTAACATCATGTACTCTAACTATGCATTTGTCAATTCTCCTTGTATTTTGACAAAAATAAGTAAACAAATCTATCCTATACATAAAGGAGCCAATAAGGGTGGCTCACTTGTCTGAGGACATATCTTTTGAGGGCAGACAGTTGAGTAAATGAGAATTTCCAGCACTGGAACAGCAGGTACATACGTCATCACATTTCATACCAAAGGAGCAGGAGCTACAGGCAGTGTTGTGATTGGAGTCGCAGCTGCAGATTTGATTCAGGCTGCGGGTGCCTGGGGAGCACTGTGCTCTCCTGCACAGAAGTAGGTACTTGAGTCTGCAGGTTCCGAGACTGAGAGAGTCAGGACACTGTCCTTTCTTGTTCCACCAAACTCAGCAGTCACTTTGCCACTTCTGACCACCTCACCACTCTTATACAAGGCCACTAAGAGGACCAGGCCTTCTTTAGGGTCCTGCTTGTACCACAGAACATTGTCAAGTGCACTTGAGGAGTTGCAGCTCATGGAGACATCCTTTCCTTCTGGGATGAATACATACTGCGCACTCTGACTCAGTACTTGGCCGTTCACCACTAGATGAAAAGACAAATAAAGCAGTTCAGTTGGCTTCAGACCACCTTTCTCAGACTCATGGGGAATGCTTTATCCCAGAAGTCCCCAGCTCTGCATCTATACACTGCCTTCCCTCCTTTCCCAGAGTCATGGGGAATACTGTATCCCAGAATTCCCCAGCTCTGCACCTATACACTTCCTTCCCTTTCTCCTCTTTTAGCTTTCCTCTGATGTCATTTCTAGAGTTGGATAAAACCTCACCCCATCCCCCATAGAGTTTCTTCTGCTTCAGAATTCCCTGTGGAGGGAGAAGAAGCCCGGAAGACTTACCTGTTAGCTGCATCCAGAGGATTGCTAATAGACGCTCAGAGAGCATCTCTGCAGCAAGCAATTCTTTCCTAAATGGGTTTCCTGTTTCAAGAAACTCACCTAGGCTCAGAGTAACAAGATTTAATTGCCATTGTGGCATAAACAGCCTGTTCTGTGTATTAGCTAACCTGATTGCTCATTGGCTCTTTGGATGCTTCCCTGAGGTTAGAACTAACCTAGAAAGTAGTTACAAATGAAGACACTGCCCCCTTATGGCTAGACACTAGATTCTGTCTCTGTTTTCAGTATCTTTGACTAATCATATTTTTCTCTCTTTTAATGAACATACCTAGGATATGTGGAAGAACTACACAGGCATGAACGAGAGCAGAAACAGCCCACACACAATTTACATTATATCTCTGAGAAGTCACAGCAGGCGGTGGGATTCTAGCTGATTAGAATGCATTTAGAAAAGTATTTTTCTCTGTGACAAGGGCATGTGGATGTGTAAGATGCTTGGAGAATTGGGGTGGGGCTGGCTTCACTGGCCAAAGAATCAGATAATGCAGGCACACGGAGCGGAATGCCCACAGAAACTTGGATCCTTTGACAGCTTTGCTGATCAGGGCAATTGCTAACTCAGAAAATAAAGGCCAAGAGCTGGGCATTGGTTTTCATTAAAAACTCATGAACTATGATGAACCATGTTGTAGTTGAAAGTAGAGCTAGACTTTCAGGTCTTCCATTATGAATGGGAAAGGTGCGCATCCAGTTTCACAGAAAAACAACAAGCCCACACTTCCCTGAAGAAACCTCATTTTCTAGAGATAAAAAGGCAGCGTCTGGGGACCAGGTTTGATTGAGCATACAGTGGGAACAGACAGCATCTTTCCTGGATTTATAACACGTTAAGTACATATGACTGTCCCAGCATCAGTAGAAATGTAAAACTCTCATAACATGAAAAACAGAAACCAAAACAGAAGGACAACAGTTTGACAGGGCCAGTGAAGGAGGTTGCCTCTGACTTTAAACACAGTGGTGTGGCCATTCTGACTTCTCCAGAGAAACAGATGAAACCACAAATGTTATTAAAACCTCATTTCTATAGAATGGAAACTCATAGGAACTTTATTCTAGAGAATGACATTGATGTGTCGTCTCAGTCATTTCTCCTTCTTTGAGTCCTTCCTTTCCCTTTTTTTTTTTCTGTTTTGAGAATCAAGCACAAGATCTCAGGATCTCATATACTTAAGTAAGTACCTTACAATGGAGATACACATGCCATTTTCTTATGTGAACTCTCTGTTCAATCCATTTACCCACTTAATGAATGTGCTATTTTAGTTTTTTGAGCTCTTTATCTATTTTAGATGTTAAGTGTCTGTCAGATAAATAGGTGGCAAAAATGTTTTTTTTTATTCTCCAAACATTAAATTTTTATTTATCTCTGAACTTCATTTTTTGATTAATTAAACTATAACTACATCGTTTCTCTCCTGCCTTTCCTTCTTCCTACCCGTGCCACATCTGACTCCTCCCGCAATTTCATTGCCGTCTTTTCTTTAACGCTGTTGTTGCATGTGCATATCAATGAATCAATGCATAAGTGCTATTTACTGAGTCCATTTAGTGCTGTGTGCATGTATATTGTTTCTAGGCAGACTACTTGGAATTTCCTAATCAATAAAGGGGTCAGCCCTGAGAAAGACTAATTCTTTGTCTCTCAGTACTTATTAATCGCCTGTAGTTCATCTGGGCATGGAGTCTTGAGAGATTTCCCCCATCCACATTGGGATGTTAGCTGCTGTTGGTCTTGTTTAGGCAGCCCTGTTGTTTAGAGTTCATGGGTGGAGATTCCCTGTCACAGCCCGAAGGCCACTCTCATGGCAACTCCCTCATTCTCTGGCTCTTACACTATTCCACCCCACTCCAGCAGTGTTCCCTGAGTCTTGGGAGCAGACATTATATTGTAGGTGGGCACCCCACGATCAGTAATCCTCTGTATTTTAACTAGTTGAGTGATTCTGCAAAAGTCTCCTTCTGATGTAAAAAGAGGTTTCTTGCAAATTTCATGATTTTTGTTTTTGTTATCACACAAATACTTTTAAATTCTATGCAATTCCCTGCATCAATTCTTGTTGCTTATTGATCAGTCGGAGCCCTCTGCGGACATTCACCACCTATGTCCATGTCTTGAAAAGTTTTCCTTGAGTAGTTTGAATGTTTCAGGCTTCACATTAAAGTTTGTTTTTAATTCATTTCAAATTGATTTAGGTACAGAGCGGGGAGAATCTAGCTTCATTCTCCATGTGGATATCCAATTTTTCTAGCTGTGTTTTTTCCTCCTACACCTATTTTTGATACCTTTGTAAAAACTCCGATGGCTGTAGTTACATTTCCCTGTGGATTCTGCTCTATCACATTGATCTATGAGTATGTTTTATGCCAGTGTTCTGCTCTAACTGTGGCTCTAGTATAATTGAAAATCGGATATGACGGCAACTCCAGCTTAGATCTTCATTCTTGGGATTGCTTTCTGCTGTTTGGTGTCTTTTGTGCTTCCATATGAATTTTAGAATTATTTTTCCTACTGATGTGAAGAACATTATTGGAATTTTGTGGAGGATTGAATTGAGCCTGTAGATCACTTGGCCACTTCACAACATTGATCCCACAAAGGCTGGTTTTACAGTGTATTTATCCTTCTATTGAACATATAGTTACATTTCAGTCCCATGAAACAGTAGCAGTCGGGCCAAGATCCTTTTTGCCTTTTTTCTTCTAATTGCATTATTATTCAGAATTTCATCCATGTTTGCACTGGAATAAGATTGTGTATTGTAGGAGGAGACCACTGTTCATCCGGCTGCCCAGGACCAAAATAAGCACACAGAAACTATATTATTTAAAACATTGCTTAGCCCATTAGTTCTAACTTCTTATTGGCTAACTCTTACATCCTAATTTAACCCATTTCTAGTAATCTGTGTATTGCCACGTTTCTGTGGCTTACCAGCAAGATTCCAACTGGTGTCTATCTCTGGCGGGGCTCCATGGCTTCTCTGTGACTCTGCCTCTTTTCTCCCAGCATTCAGTTCCATCTTCCCTGCCTACCTAAGTTCTGCCCTGCTATAGGTCCAAAGCAGTTTCTTTATTTATTAATGGTAATCACAGCACACAGAGGGAAATCGCACATCACCATATACCTTCCACTCTCCCCCTCACCTTCCCCATTGCCCCTACCATGTGACCCTCCCAACTTATCTACTTTGATTTTTTTAAACTTTTTTATTGATTTTATTGAACTATACATTTTTCTCTGCTCCCCTCCCTTCCTCTCCCTTCCCCTTCAGCCCTTTCCCATGGTCTCCATGTTCCCAATTTACTCAGGAAATCTTGTCTTTTTCTACTTCCCTGTAGATTAGATGCATGTATGTCTCTCTTAGGGTCCCCATTGTTGTCTAGGTTCTCTGGGATTGGGAAGTGTATGCTGGTTTTCTTTGCTTGTCTAAAAGCGCTTATGAGTACATATGATATTTGTCTTTCTGGATCTGGGTTACTTCACTCAATATTATGCTTTCTATGGCATATTGAAATTTGCAGGCAAATGGATGGATCTACTTTGATATTTATTTGAATATTTTTTCATGACACTTTTCAATTTGTTTTCTTTCATTCTCTCTTCATATGCCCCAAATAGCATACTGTCTCTGCCTCCTTGACTTCTTATCAGGATGCTGCTGGTCAAGCCTTCAGGCATGTGGGGACAGAACTTAACCTGAATGCGACATCTTCTCAATGTAGCAACATTATTTTATTTTTAAACAGAAACTATTCAAGCTGAAGTTGTACTTCAGTGGGAGAGCATTTTCTCAGCACACGCAAAGCTGGAGTTCAACCCGCAGCATTCTAAAACAAAAGAAAAAAACTTAAACCAAACCAACAAACATCATCACCAAAATGAACAAAATGCAAAAGAGATACTGTATGAAATTGCACTGGCCTTAGCCAGCATAAAGATAATTTCCATTTTATGCACGACTTTCTTAGAAGCCATATCACCAGCAATTTCTGAGAGCAGGAGATTATTTGATTTCCTTTTATCAATTTGAGGAACAGAGAATTCCACAATTAGATCTGAAACATGTTGATCAGTTTAGGAAAATTTTATTCAGAGAATTTTGACCAATTTGAGATTATCATTGTTTTATTAATGGTAGAATTATTATCTTTAGACCCTTCCTGCCTCTGCTGCCATCAAAGAACAGCAGCCATTGCTCTGTGCTGCCCCAGGGCCTAAGGTCAAAAGGTGATTAGAAAGTCGGCAAGCTGAAGCACAGCTGTATGGTTCCAGATGTGTGTTCAAGGATTCCAAGGTCAAGTGGGTGTTCAAGTTTATGAAGTGGGTGGGATGCACACCTACACCAAGGGAGTGGAGAAGCCGAGTAAAGCACTGGCCCTTGAGGAAAGAGGCTGCCAAGGACTGGTCTTGTCCCTTTTCCTGTCCCTCAATAAACATTTATATGGCAAAAAAGAAAATATTATTTTAACTACTAAGTGTAGTCAATATGTCAGTCTCTTAACACATGCGATCCATATGAGCAAAGTAGTATGACTGTGTCAGTTTTATAAGGGGAAATGGAACCTTAGAAATTTATAGTTAGTAGTTGACCCTCACATAGTCTGTAACAAAAGAACTGGTTCCTCCCTTGCTTGAGAATTTTAGCGTCTCCAAGAAGTGTAAGAACTATTTCTCTCTAGCCTACAATCTTTGCCTGAAGCAGGTGTTCAGTCAATGCTTTGAAACAGGGCCAATCCTTTAGCTCATGTGGAGGGAGCAGACAAAGGTAAGCTGTTGATCATTTCATTTTGAAGCAGAGTGGGTGAAGACCTTTTCAGTTCAGTGTGCTCAGAAACACAGAGAACAGAATGGGAGAGAAAGCACAATGAGAATTAGAGGCCAGGCTAAGACTGGATTAGTTCCCTATTCTTCTGTTATTTCTGTATTTATGATATAAATGTTGAAAGAATATGTTACTTGTACTGACGCTTGTGTCTAAC